ATCAATAGGCCACCCAGCAGCCCTGTGCAATCATCCCCTGCATGCCACACTCCTGAGCACCCTCCTGGTCTTCATGCAGTTGTGAGCCAATTGGCTTTAGAGGAATTGCTAGTCGGGGGATTATCATTTTCCATTCAACCAAGGCTGTTGAGTGGTAAGAATGCCAACTGCATGCTGGGAGCAAAAGAAGATGCATCATCATGAATACAGAACTCAAATGATCCTGCAGAGAGCGTGAGTCTGGGCGGATCCGGCCGGCCGTCAGTCACAGTCAGACCAGTTTGGTATAAACAGTTAATCAATCAGCAGTCCTGCCTAAGCCCCTCTGCTTCACGGCCTTGCTGATGGGTCTGGGGGGGAGGCGCAGAGAATAGCTTTCTGAGTGAACCTCCTGTGAGCTCCGTGTGTTGATATTCGTGACATTAATGCGTTCACTTGTGAGAGGAATATCAAAGAGGTGAGTGTGAACTGCACTGTAAAAATGAAAAAGTTGAGAAAACTTGAAAACTCTAATGAATTTCAAGTGAATTTTACAAAAAATTTTAGCTCTATGCCTTAATACTCAAACTACAGTCTGGGGTTCAAATCCGGCCAGCATTAAGGTGCTGGCTGAATCACACAGCACAGTAGGTCTTTTAATTCATTTCATCTGATAAATATTGCAGTTTGTTTATTACCTGGCCCCTGGCTGTCTGTCATTTTGCAAAAGTGGCCCCTAGGCAAAGCAAATTGAGTATCCCTGGTTTAGTGACTTTGAGAAACTAGAATAAATATCTGCATATTAACCAGCTTGGAGTAATGAACCCACAGAGAATTGAAACCCTGACTCTGCACCTCCTCTCACTTCTGCACAGCTTCATAGTAGCTTTCAGCTAATCATTTTACTACACTGCAATGTTTTCAGCTGCTTTCAGCTTTAGAAAGCTCCATAAACCCACTGTACACCACTTGTTTAGCACTATAGCGAATATAGTAACTACATGGTGGACACAGTGGAACATTTTGTGGCTAAAGAGGAAGATATTTCCCTCAGAGGTTGGAGATCAGAATAGAGCTAAAATTGCATTTTATTTAAGAGGTGGAAGTGTCAGTTTTGTGTCACTTGTCTGTGATTATAGATTTCAGTTTTGCCTTTGTACAACACAGAACCTGTATCTGCATTAACTTAATCTGAACAGAGTAAAGGAAAATCTTCATTTATACACATAAACCATTGTCACCCTCTGGGTAATTCTGTGATTATCAATGATGTTTAATGTGTCATACATATGTTAAATATGCAAAATCAGGTGCCTAAGGAGTTTTACTGCGTGACAGATATTACATTTGTTGTATAATTTTCATGCTGCACCGTCTTTACTTCTACATAATAAATAGAGCTTCCAGAAATGGCCAGAACAAGGGTCAGTGTGGCTTGTTTTCATTTCAGTCAGTGTAAATGATGTGTGTCATCTCATGCAAACGTGTAAAAATCATATAACATGTAACTGCCTTTAAATTAGAAAAAAGCTTGCTAGGAAGTACAGGCTAAAAAATGTTTTTCTTGTTTTTATTGTATCGTACTGTTTTCATTGTATAGTTTGTTATGTATTGTGATGTTGCAGCTGCACCGTAATGCTATTGCTTTATACATAATTCCCTTTGGAACAATAAAGTATATCTTATCTTATCTATGTTATCTAGTAATTTAATTACAGTTTGCTAAGCACACTAAAAAATACTGTTTGGGCTCAACAAAGAAAAAATTACCACAACAGTTGGCGTCAGTCTTTCCAACTTCTAATTAACATGTATTCAACTAAAAAACTGCATTGAGTTAGCAGAATTAGCTTTTCCTCTACAATCAAAGATATTGTTAATTACCATGTAATTGATGATTGGCAGCATACACACAAGGGTCAGTTGATTGTTCATAAAAAATACGTTGCTCCAACTAGTAATTCCATATTCCTTAAAAGGACTTTCAAGTGTCATGTACTCAATCACCATAATTTTGAACACAATTTTTAAGTCGGCAAATGTAAAAATTGAGTTGCTCAAATGTCAACTAGGTAGGAGACTTGAAATCCTGCAGTCTAGGTAAACTTATCAACCAGTTTCATTTAAGTTTAAATTGAACAAAATATTAAGCTGATGCAACTGTGCATTTTTTAAACGATGGGATTAGGTCAGTTTAAATACTTTCCAATCAGCTGGACATTTTGTAAATTCCTCATTTCACTAGACTGAACTTGGGTAAATAATTTATGAACAGACTTAAACTTAAAGTCATAAACCCAATGTGTTACTGAAAAAAGATGACTTGGCCTAATATAACAGATTTTTATAGAGCAGACAAGTCTGGCATAAGATGAACATGAACTCTCAAAGCTGGTTTTCTCACATTTACCAAGTGCCTGATGCATGATAACAGATCTTTGTGACTTGTAATAAATCCCACCTACATTAAGTTTTTAGATTTTTACTCACTTGTGTTGCATCAAGGGGTTGATTTATAAATGCAGCTCAAGTTGTCAGTCATCCTACACGACTATATGTCAGTGTTTTCATACTGTGGAAAACAGTACCATTCGTGGAGGCAGTAAGGAAACGCTGTTTTCCACCAAAGGTCACTTCTTATGCAATTGTTAAAAATATCTGCAAATAACTGTTTTTGTAGATTCTAATTTTGCTCATTTAACTTTCAAAATCCCTCTCTCAACCCTGTAGTGGATGTCCGTATGCGGTTTCCCCTCCTTTAAGATTCATTATACTACAGATTTCTTGTGATTTCCTCAACTCCTGAGCTCTAATCATAAACACTTTTCACCACTCCACTTCATTCCCTTCAGGGCAACGCTCCACTTCATGGCTAGATTGAATATTCATAAAGACTCTTCAGATTTCAGATGACACACGGGCATCCGCCTATGCTCGACATATGCATAAAATGTGCATTAACATGGTTTTATTTCTGTCTCGCTGATGTGGGGAGTGGATGTTTATAGGATATTTAATGGAATCCATCCCTTAGAGTGGCCAACAGATTGCATGTAATCTACCAAAGTCTCTTTGAAGACCACAATTTACAGCATGCATGACTGACAGCTCCCAAAAGTTATCTGATGTGGTGCACAGCACTGTAACAGTTTGCATTGTCTTTGCAGTGTTTTCCCTCCAGTCTGCAAGTATATAAATTGGCAAACACAGCGTGAAGCATATGGCTATTGCCCCCAACAAATTTGTTTCTTTTTTATATGTGGCCTAGAAATTTCCTAAACCATAAAGCCATAAAAATGTCCTCTGGGAGTGGGAGATACAAAGAAATTTGACAGTCCATGGAAGCACATAATCAGTCATCGCACATCATTCCAGTGTCTTGGTTCTAATTGCAAAGCATTCCAACTCTCTAGCTCCATCTGTTGAGACGTTTTCATAACTATGGGCAGACATTTGTGATTACAGACGCAGAAGTTACAGGCCAGCTAGAGAAGAGCAGTGAATTCTTGCAAGGCACTGTAGATACAAATGTCAGCTAAGATAATGATTCACTAGCTGCTGCAGATTGTTATGTAAGAGCTGCAATTCTTCAAACACGCTTGACTGAGTAAACTAATGAGGGCCGGGTCAACTTTCTCATTTGTCTAGTGAAACAATATTAGAAATATCCATCTGGTTTCCATATCTGCTCGTAATATTCATTCGGGGTCATCCCGGATGAGGTTGCACCCTACACAGGTCATACGTCTGTCACAGGGCTCACACGCCTAACAAACACATTAACACCTGCAGGCTGAGAGGACATGTCACTTTCACTCAGGGAAACTCTGGGTGGCAGGGTTGGGTTCAAACCAAGGACCTTCATGCCATCCAGTGACAGTGCCAACTTCAAAACATTAAACTTGTTTCACAGTTTCAGTCCTGTGTTGACCGATTCTGTTTAAAAATATCAGACAACAATAATAAAAAAATAGATATTTTCTGTATGCAGGATTCAACTCTGAATTTCAAAAAGCACAACAGATACAAATAAGAGTGCATTAGGGTCACATAAACTGCACCCTTACTTTTTTTAAGATTTAACTTTTGCTTGGTTTTTTGTTTCCTTTTGGAGCTCAAACATATTTTTGAGTGATGCGTACAGCTTTAAAGACATGCCCCACATGCTACAATATAGTCAGCAGCATAAAATTGCATTCAGCTACCAGCTTTAATTTCAACACTATCATATGATAAAGCTGATATGTAAGACCTGCCAGCAAAAAGTTGCATTTAACAACGTTAGCATTAATGCTGAGCCACGTCACCAGCGAGTCACTCTTTTTCAGCCAGTTTCCACCAACTCCTGATGGAAATATTTGGCTTTTTAGCTGCTAAATGCTTCACTATTTATATCACCTAGTCCCTAACGTTGCTGCACAGATAGTGTAGAGTGGAGTTTTCACACATTTACATTCAAACTGCTTTCTGCTATGTCTGGAAACCACGTTTAAGTTGCAGGCTGCATGAAAAAACTATCAGCTAAAGACATTTAAATGCTCTGTAGAGCCAATGGAATCTGTAGCAAGGCAATAAGTACCTGTGGGTTTGTCAGTGCTTTGCCTTGTTAACATAAATGTATTTTAAAGTGGCGGAGCATTACTAAAATAGAAAATCGCAATTAAAACTGAAAAAAACTGAAGCAAAGATTGAACTGAATTCGGTGGTGATTTCAGCTTAAGGTCCACCCACATAATGTTTTCACTTGCGCTGCCCGATTACAGCTCTCCTCACGACTGTGTGTGCATGCGTGTGTAGACCGGACTGGATGGAAATCATCCTCTCTCCGCAAGTGATAACTTACCCTGTAATCATTGTTATTGGTACATTAAGTTTATGACTTCACATAATTTCAAGCTCTGCTCCAGAGAGCTTTAGTCTGACTAGAGGTCTAATCAGCTAGAATAATTAAAAACACCACTCTTAGTGCAGAGCCTGAAACCTTAAAGAAGCTGTTGATATGAACTGAAATCAAAAAGAAATGGGTTGAAATCACCGTTTTATTTTCTCGAACCAATGCAATGAAATACAAAAAAAAAAAAAAGACATTTAAAACCTAAAAATAAAGTAAAAATGTAGCAACAAATATTGTCAAATCTAACGCGCTCTTTCGATGTGCAGGCTGAACAGTATGTCAGTGAGAAGACATAAGGGGATCTACAACTAATTCAAATGAGGTGAAAACAAATAAATACCAGAATATAAAAGTAATTATACAAAAATGGCATAATTACAATCGGGGACGTACGTTTAAGGTTGGAGAGAAATTGACGAGACGTTAAAAAGTCGCACTGAAAAATCCAAGTGTTAAACCAATTGTCCTCACGAGACAGTGTCTGTTCATGGCAACAAAGAACGCAGAGGATCCACTCGGCCTTATCTGTCCGGTCGCATCATGCCTGGCCTCACTGGCATCATCATCGGTCGAGGATGACGCATCATGTGTGGCGGTCCTGGCATCATCTGCATGGGTCCTCCCATCGGTGGCCTCATGCCTCCTAAATGTCACAGTGATGAGAGACACAGTTTAGGTATTGATTGAAAACAGCAGTTTCATGTTAAAAGTCACATCTGTCCATTTAAAGCAGAGCTGGTGAGAAATAATTCCGTCAAATACTATATTTGGGGTGCCAGAAAGGAGAATTAAAGAGCATTATATACAGCATACAAACAAATGAAACCCTGAGGTCAACAGCCTGCTCTGTGTTGTGACCACTGCTGATGACTGATTGAATTAATGCAAACTTGTCCGATTTGACGTGACAGGAAAAGTTTTTCGTCTCATCTGAAATATCAAAAATTCCAAAAGCGTTCAGATTCGACAAGCAATTTCATTCATGTTCCAGTTACACAATTTAGGTATTAGCGAGGCTTTGTCTTTCTTACCAGGCCCACCAGGCATCATCCCATGTGGTGGAGGCCCCATCATGGGCATCATTGGAGGACCTCCCATTGGGGGTGTTGGCAGCATACCTGGACGAGGAGGACCCCCTGTAGTACAAACAGCAAATATTAGTGTGCAGATGATGAAAAAACTGTGTAAGCAGCATGGATTATCATATTCACAAGCATCACAGTGAATTACATGATATTCTAAGAGCTTCATTCGCATTGATTTCTGACTGTAAAGATAAACTGTTTACTGTGAACAAAATCGGAAATGTTAAAAAAAGGCTACACAGCCTCTGGGAGTGTGGCTCGACGTATATGTCCACTGTGTTCCTGTTGGTTAGTTTTGTGGTTGCAGCTTTATCAGAGTTTGGCATAGAAAATATTTTAGCAACACATCTCAGTGCTCTACTTGTTGTCCAACTTGAAAAGTGCCGAAAGCAAAGACTCTTACGTAACTTAGAAATGCTGCTAATTTGCATCCAGTGAACATTCAGAATACAACTTAAACTTCTGTCTTTGTTTTCGTTAATAAAATACCACAGCACAGATGAAAGAAATGAACCAAGCAGTAAAATAAAAGGGTGACTTTCCTATATGTTTAAATTGTGCTCCATGGGGTTAAGACTTTTATTTACTTGAATAAGGTGTTATTTGTCATCCTGTAGGAATGTAAAGCTTCACATTTTATTGGCTGATTACTCCAAGGAAATGCATTTCAGTGGAGCTTTAAATAGAGATATACTTGACTGCATTTCCCATATAAATATAAATGCAACTATAAAAAGCCAGGGCTCATGTTATGGTTGGTTAATTAAATTACTAAAGAGCTGGAAGACGGCGGACTCACCTGGGGGAGGGCCACCAGGGAACGGTGTGGGAGGAATCTTTCCCTGTTGAAACGCAGCCGCTGTTGGGAGAAAAAGACGAAATATTAACAAACACAAAACCAAGCAAATATTTCATGTAGAGTATAAATCATGTACAAAGCACAGTCTTGTCATTGCTGTTGTATGTTTGTTAAGAATTAACTTAAGCCTGTTTCATACTCTCTTTATGAAATGCAAACAACACACGGGGTCGTTCTAACATTTCTGGATAGCAAAATACACAGCAGTGTATAAACTTTGGGATGCAATGTTTCTGTTTGCTGCAGCTTTAGGTTTTGGAAAACAGTGCAAAATGAATGTGATTACCAATAAGCCAGGACAAAGTGTAGCCCAAAATTATCTTTTTTTTTTCTCTTCTTTTAAGTTCTTTTTGTTGCAAGGGATAATTTCGGCTGTAATACAACATATGCCTCCACAGTGGACAACACTACACATTAGCTTTGCATCTCATACGTGGATTAGTGGTTTGTAATCTCAGAGGGGGCCAAAGTAAGCTGGTGTATAAAGTGCACTGTTTAAGCAGAAAGCTTGGATATCCCACACACGTGCATAAGCATGCCTTGTGTGGGATATGTAACAGGCTTTTACTGTCTACATATAACAGGCTACTAAAACTGGAAAAGAAAAAAAGCGTGTAGTGCCCACATTAGGAGTGTGAACGGTTGACTGTGCAACCAAACAAATCATCAGTATGTTACCGCCACTAGAGACTGCTTTCGCAAAGGGGTGGGCGATTTGATGATCTTCCATTCTTACAATTTGGCATATAATCTGGTTTTCAGTAGAATAGACCAGATCATGTCATGAAATAAATAACAGCGCTGCCCAAACTTCACCACTCCCCATGAAGCAAGCAAAAGCTTGATTGGTTGTGACACAATTAGGATGATGCTCATTGGATGCACTATGCATCTTGAATGTGTCACTTAGTTTGTAAACAGAAGCGAGCAAGGCAGACGAAAAGCAGCAGTGAGCAGCTTAACATCCTGAAAGCGACAGAGATATGAACTGTGATTCAAAAGGTGCAATGTGATGTTCGCAGAAAAGATCATTGGATGATCTTTTGCCCAACTCACCCACCTCTACTTCCACATTTAAGTTAAAATTACTGCACATGTGAACTTTATGTTGTGTACTTGCAAAACATCAGAATTTTTCTGAATCCTCCAGGTTTTAGGATATCTATAACTGGCCACAACGTCCTTGAACCGAAGCTTGCAACAAATGTAGTCTTTACACAAGACACCAAGAAAAATTTCTGCTTACTTGTTTTATCGATCAGGCTCTGAGCCTGCTCCTCCATCCATTTCTGGTAGTAGTCTTTCACATTTTCTTTGTGTTTTCGGCCACTGCAGTGGGTCTTCCTCACTGACGGCTAGGACAGAAACAGAATAAAATGAAAGACACTTAACAGGAGTGGGGATTTTTTGTATTTTAAAAAAAAAAAAACACAAAAAAAACTTCTCAACAATTTGATTTGATACACACAAACACAACTTACCGAATCATGTGTGAGGTAAGTATCACAGTAGTCACAGTAAAACCTGTGAAATGTGAAGACTGAGGTTAACACAAAAAAAATCCAGATTCAGAGCTGCAGATGGATTTAAAAACACAATACTGTCATGTAGAACTAAATATGATTTACATATATACAATTCCTAAACCCATTTGATTGGTCTGGCTGGGTCATCATGACTTTCTGACTAAATATTCTCTTTAAAATAATGCAATTTATGGGCGCCGCTATCGCTCACCTGGTTGAGCTGGCATCCCATGTGCAGGGCTACAGTCCCAATGTGGAGGTCATGAGTTTGAATCCCGCTCATGACCCTTTCCCACATGTCCTCCCCCCATTCTTCTCCCCCACTTTCCTGTCTCTCTCTCACACTACACTATCCAATAAAGGCACAAAGGCAAAAAAAAAAAATAACTTAAAAAAATTAAATAAATAAAAATAATGCATTTAGTTAGGAATGAGATCTGCTAAAGTATGCATATACACATACATCAAGCCAAATGTCCGACAATACAATTCATTGTCTGTCTTGAAAGTTTGAAATCTTATACACAAAAGTTTGCTGTTCAGTAGAAAATCTCACCCTGAAAATAAAATAAACTATCTTGTATGCTTTTGTTGCACACCTGTTTATTTCTGTTTTGTTTTAGCAAAATTTTACTCCTGACTCCCTCGACAATCACACCAGTAGAAAATTAATGATTAAATGACTACATTTTTATGTTAAAAAAAACAAAAACAATGCATGACTTTCTCAGCATCGTGCTCATAAAATCTCCAATCTTCTCAGTTTCTTTACTACTTATTTTTTTGGGATGCGTTGATCTTTGCAGCTGCAGCCACTTTACAACATTACGGTCCCAGTTAGGCCGTTCAACCTGGAGGTAAAGTGATGTTACTGTGCGTTAAGGAACAAACTTGGTACAGCGTGTTTTAATAATTTAACACAACCACAAAACAATCTTCTCCCTTTTTGGAAAAATATTTGCTGAGAATGCACTTCGCGATTACACCGAACCAGAAAAACAGGGTGGTAATGTTGGTTAGCCGTGGATAAGAGGTCGCAAAATACTGAAGAAGGGACATTTTAACCAACTGTAACTGAGAAAACCCAATTTTCTAAAAGAAAAAAAAAAAAAAAAGACCATGAATTATGGCGGAAAAGTCCAGAAAAAAACGAGCAACTTCATCTGGAATTTAAGTTGCTATATCAGCCACATTATAATAAAAAAACAGAATATGCTACATTAGCCTGCGTTCATCAACTCTATATGATAATAAAAATGTTGAATATTAACGTGCTGCGCTTATCCCGTGTGCCAATCTTAGGCTGTAAGCGTTTAAATCGAGGTTCGCTCCAGTGAATAGACATAGCCCAAACAAAGCTGCCAGCGTTTATTGGGAAACGACTCGGTTTAATACATTTGTTTCCAGTCTTTAACTTTCCGCCACTCGTCACGAAATATCACTACAAACGACTATCAACGTTGCTAAAAGAAGGGAGCGAAAGATTAAGCAATAAAATCAAATATCGCTGAACTTACTTAGGCATGTTTCACAGCAACCCCCGTCGAGAAAGCGCGATTCCGGTGTTCCCAATAAAAGTTCCGACCAGATATGAAGAGCTATGAACAGTTAGTTCCGCCTGAGAGAGGTTACTGAAATTTTTCCAAAGCAAAGATTTTGTTTGTTCTATATACCTTTTTAGTCTTTATCTGACTATCCTTTGATAATAATAATAATTTAAAAAAGCCACTAAACGAAAAGAAATAATAATGTTAAGAACATATTGCTTAAACATTTTAGTGCCTCTAAATCTCAAATGACACTGTTTGAAGTCACATTTTGTTTTTGTCAAATTTAAGACATCACTCACTTTATGTACACCTTTCACGATTATTTTACTGGTTATTGCAATAGTCCACAACTTTAAGTAAAATAGTACGCTTAGAAATGCCTTGTAACCAAGATTATCTGGTACAGGCAAATCCTGCATTCATAATTTCACTCAATTTGCGTTAAACTTAGTTCAAAAGTAACAATTACAAGAATGCATTTTAATGTTGTAGCGAGTTAAATCAAGCTTTATTATAATTTACAGTTTTATATACTGTTTGAAAATTTAATCATATGAAATAAAATATAGGGGTCATTTATGCCTCAAAGTCTCTAAATATGTCTTACAAATGTAGCACAGGAAAATTCCAATGTTTCGTGTCATACTAAATTACGTGGGGTAGAAGTTCACAAGACAAAAATGAAAATATTGAAGAAAAAAATCTGTCAAAGAGTATTTAATACTTTTAGGTGGCAAATGTACATTTCTTTCCACCACAGCACCACATATGGTTATTAACAAATCAAAACCAATTATCACCAATTAACCGATTATCCATAGCAATAAACTAAATCTGCAACAAGAAGATTCAGTAACAATATATTTTATATTCAATTATTATACACAAAAGCTAAAACAGGCATTTTGGAACCTGACACTTGCAGTAATGTAGTTAATTGAGAATATGACTGAAATATATTTGTTGTTAAAAAGTTAAGTACATTAGGTGTCTTGAAAAACTGTGAGATATTCTTTTGTTCCCCTTGTAGTTACAATGTTTTTATTTTCAAAGCATGTGTGCATATTGTTTAAAAAAAAAATAAAAAAAATTTTAAAAAGCAGAACATCTATAAAAATGTGTTCTCATAATTTAGTGTTGGCTTTACAAGTTTTAAAAATAATACATTCAATGTTATATGTTAGCAAATCCATATAATACTAAGGTGCCAAACGCAACTGTGATGTCATTCGTTAATTAAACCATTCATTATTAGAATCCTGGGCTGAAGGCTGTGAATCTGCAATACATCATATATTGTATATTTGAAGAAAAATCATCATGAGCATACTAATATATAGCACATATGCAACTGTCAGTTTATTCAGTACAGTTTGATATAACCTTGTGAAAATATCCTACTGTCATAAGGATCATATTTTGTAGTTTTTTTTGAGTTAATGGCTGTTTAAATTACACAAGTTCAAGACCTCTCAGACTGTGAATATACTCATATTTAGTAAAGGAGCACTCCACCAATTGAACAGCTGAGTCAACGTGTGCTGGGTCGTTCTAAAATCTGGTTAGTTATCAAGATAGCTGTGAAATGTTAGTTTGATATATTAAATACTTTCATACATACATATATATACATATATATGGTTAAGTTCAAGTTCTTGTCATTTGTAAGGGTGTAGTCTGTGTTATTGTTGTTATGTTTATTGTAAGGCATAATAATGGTCTACTTAGTCACTGTCAAATAATGTAAATGTAAAAACTATTTGAAACGCTCAGCATTTGCCTGCAATAGCTTGGTGTGGTGTTTATACACACTGACAACTGAGTTCATCACTGTAGTGCTTTTTGTTTTTAATAATATAACATCTTACCAAGAAAATACTTTTTATAAAGAGATGGTTAAATGCTATTTATAAATAATGTGTAATTGTTGTGTACATTATTAATATTGTGAATTATGTGTGGCACTGGGCTGAAAAATGAGCAACATGGACTTCATTGATAAACCAATGAGAAGGAGGCTACAAATAGCAACAGATGACGTCGACGCCCACTAAGTGATTGGCGAAGGTGACGCGCGCGCTGTTGCAACGTCAAACATCGTCCCCCTGGTCGTGCCATGCGCACTGGCGCTTGTTGTTGTTGAGCTGGTTGTTATGGCTGGACAAGGCCTCGGACTCAACTGAGAGAGGACCCCCCTCCCCTCCCCGGACCACCCCGTCTCCGCCACGGGACACCCGCCACCCATGGAGGGCACAGACATGGACGTGGACGCGGAGCTCATGCAGAAGTTCAGCTGCATGGGCACCACGGACAAGGACGTCCTCATTTCGGAGTTCCAGAGGCTGCTGGGCTTTCAGCTCAACCCAGCCGGCTGCGCCTTCTTCCTGGACATGACCAACTGGTGAGTACGGGGATTGGCGGGCCTGTTGTCGGGCAGCAACATGACGCGGAGCTAGCTTTATAATTAGCTAGTTAGCATACGTTAAACTGCTAAAAAACAAAAAAAAACATGGAGGCAGACGCACACGGTTCTGAGTTAGTGGTGTTCACAGCCGAGACGATAATTTCATCATTCCCACACGGGAAATGGTAGTTAACTCCTAACGATCTCTCAGTAGCAAACGGAAGTGAGATGGTGAAGTTTTTCCTGACCATTAGTTGTAATAAGGTGAAAGAACTGATAAAAAAAAAAAAAAAAACAAAGAGCAAGCTAACGAGCTAGCAGGCTAATTTAAGCGCAGGGAACTCTCGGTGTAGATTATCTGCCATGTTATATAATAGTGAACACAGCCAGTTAAACAGCGCTCCTCGGGAAGCCACAACTCAAGGCAGCGCCAGTCACTTCACGTTAGTCTCATGACGTAACCAGTCGTGATCTATCAACGGCCGACAACAAGTGGTCCTGATCACAACGTCTTTGTGCTCCTGATCACTTGTACTCATGCTTTTAGTTGATCAGTGATCGATGGCTTTGATTTCATCCCCTTTGAAGATGAAATCCGCCGACCCCTTCGAAAAAAAGATCAAAAACTGTTTTGGAGCATGAAACCAAGTCTGGGAACCCGCATGCCCAACTGGAAAGATGACGATATCACGTGGCAGATGCTGGAATTTGTCCACGAGAACCAGTTGTAGGAATCGTAGGGAAATTATGAGTACACAGCAATGAATGAGCAATATTTTAGCGTTACCTGTCCACCTATATCCTGAAGTGTTTTGTTTCTTAATCAGATAGAAAGCCAATTGATCACATTCATTTAAGGATCACGCCATCATTTTTACACTTAAATATCAGCTCTACTGTCAGGTCGTGATGATAATGATGCTCTGTCTGTTGAAACAAAAGCATAATGTCTTCTGGGACTTCGGAGTAGCACTGTCAAGTCTGAGACCTGAGATCGTGGCAGCAATATCATCAAGGTTACCTGATCTTCTAAAGTATAGATGCATATTAAACAGTCCTTGTTCCAAACTGGAGGTGTGCAATGTGGCAGATGTAAACGAGCCGGCAGTCTGATTCTCTGGATGACTGGACACCTATTTCTAAGGCAGTTTCCTTTTCACTTGACTTATCTATGTCTTTCCATCTCCAAAATCCCCTTCAGTGCAGGAAACAACACCAACAGCCCTGCTTCTGACACCCTAACACTGATAATGTGACATTTTGTAGAGGATTTTGGTGGTGAAGTAAGGCAGCCATTTTTTTTTCATTTACATCACAGTGCTCACCTCCGTGGGTGCAAATTTTCCACCAAAGTAATTCCACTGTTACTATTTACACTTACAAATAAGCTAGAGCACTTTCCCCCCTAAGGCCGAATGA